TTTTCTATCATTTCGACAGCCCTCTCTGCAGCACATTCACTCCAGGCAAGGTGGGTGAAGTGTCTTGCATAAGGGCACAACAGAACTTGTCAACAGTTGTATAAGCGGTGACTCATTTGGGCCAGTTTTGAATACTGCAAACCTGTTTCCCCTTTAAGAACCGTTCCCTCTTTGACAGTGTGCTGACACTGCACTGCCTCTTCTCCCTCTCTCTCTATCTCTCTTTCCCCTCATCTCTCTATCTCTCTCTCTCTCTATCTCTCTATCTCTCTCTATCTCTATCTCTCTCTATCTCTGCCCCTTTTTTCTCACTGCACCCTTTCTACTTCTATCTCTATCCCTCGTTTCCTCCTCTATTCCTCTCTCCCCTTCATGTTTCTCGTTATCTCTCTCTTCACATCTCCTCTTTTCTCTCTTTCTCTCTCTCTCTATCCTTCTGCCTGCCTTTTTTCTCACTCACCCCATCTCTCCCTTCTTTCTCTGTCTCTCTCCTCTATCCTCTATCCTTTTTCTTTCCATACCATCTCATTGTCCCCTCTCTCTTCCCATCCTTCTCTCTCCTCTGTGTTTCTTCCTATCTCTCTCTCTATATCTCCTCTTTTCCCCCTCTCCTCTGCCGTGTCCCATCCCTCTCTTCCACTCTCCTGCCTCTCCTCTTTCTCCTTTGTCACTTTGCTCTACTTCTCCCTATCCTCCACTCTCTTCCTCTAGGCTCTTTCCATCCTTCTCTCCCTCTCTCTCCTCTCCGTCTGTTTCTCTATCTCTCTCTCTCTCTCTCTCTCCTCTCTCCTTCCCCCCTCTCTTTCTCTGTCCTCCCTATGTTTCCCTATCTCTCTTTCTCTTCCCCTAACCCACTCTCTCCTCTCCCCTCTCTATCCTCTCTCTCCTTCTCTCATCTCTCTCCTCTCTCACTCTCTCTTTCCTCTCTCCTCTCTGTTTCTTCCCTGCCTCTCCTTCTCTACTCTCTCCCTCCTCTTTCTCTCTCCTCTGCCTCTGTCCCTCCCTCTCTCTCTCCCTAACCCCCACTCTCTCCTCCTTCTCTCCTCTCTCTCCTCTCTCACTCTCTCCTTCCTCTCTCCTCCTTCTCTCCTCTCTCTCCTCTCTCACTCTCTCCTTCCTCTCTCCTCCTTCTCTCCTCTCTCTCCTCTCCGTCTCTCCCCTGTCTCTCCCTTCTCTCCTCTTTCTCTCTCCACTTTCTTTCTCCGTTCTCTCTCATCTCTTTCTTCTCTCTCTTGCTCCTCTCTCTCTCTCCTCTTTCTCTCTCTTCTCTCTCTCTCTCTCTCTCTCTCCCTAACCCCCACTCTCTCTCTCTCTCCTCCCTCTCTCCTCTCTCCCTCCTCCAAGGTCAAACGTCACATTTTATTCCTTCCATCGAGCTCATCCCCAAACTGAAAACTGCTCGTCCATTTTTCATCCCATCGATTGTCAGAGTGAAATAAAAGCAGAAGCTCAGATTTTATTACACACATCTGTAAAAGTGTGTTTGTTTTTTCATGAATCATTCTTTTTATAATTCTCTCTCAGCAAATAAACTTTGGTAAATCTGATTTGACAAGCCACAGTTTCAGACCCAAACTTTAGCCTTATGTTTGAATCTCTTTAATATTTCTGCATTATTAGATGAAAAACAAGACAGACGTGTGGGGGTTTCAGTGTTATTTTCATTTAAAGTGACTCTCCTGAACCTAAACAAGCCCAAAACTGACTGAAAACACACACAGATTTGGTTAAGATCTCTCCTTCTCTTTTTCTACCGCACCCTTCCTCCTTTCTCTCTCTTCTCTCCTCTGATTCCTTTCCATCTTTCTCTCCTCCACGTTTCTTCCTACTAGGGATGGGCATTCGATGAAATTTTCTTAATCGATCGTCCGAAGAATTAACGATCGATTATCGATTAATCATGAACGTTTTTATATTAAAATGATCATCATTATTATTACTATCTGCACTACTAATCTGCATAAATAAATTCAACTTTACGACATATAAACCGTAACGATTCTAGAGCCACATCAGCTGTTTGACATTATAATGTGTTTAATTCAGTTTTGTTCAAATCTCACAGAAACAAAACTTAAAACCGCATCGCTAATTTGCATAAACTAAGCGAAGATAAAACTACAGCTCTTGTGTCGCTGATGTGGTTCAACTTCTGTCGGATTAAAAGACATGACTCAGGTGAATACAGGTCAGTGTGACCAGATTTGCGTTTGTCAAAACCAGGACACCGTACGGGAGGAGGGAGATGGGGACTCGTCATCGACATTGAGCGACTCTCACCTGGTAAAACCTTTTCCCACTGGACACCGAAACATATGTGCTGCTTTATACACTGTGCACACGGACTCACACTTGTCCCAAACGCAATGGAAAGTGTGGAATTTCTTGTACAAGTCGTCATTAAATACACATTTGTGCTTTGGTACGCTGCAGACTGACCCACTGTTTGTGTCTCGCTCCTTCTGATGCAGAGACACATGTACACACCTGTTTGGTCACACTACACACAGCAACCTACATTTGGTTTGTCGATTAAAATTAATGTAATCAATGAAATTCTTAATGATCAATTATCGATTAATCGATTAATCATGCCAATCCCTAGTTAAGATCTCTCCTTCTCTTTTTATACTTCTCTCCTCTGATTCCTTTCTTTCTTCTTACATCTCCATCATATCTGTTCTCCCTCGTTCTCTCTCTCCTCTGCCACGTTCCTTCCCTCTCCACAACAAAAAAAAAATGACCTTAATATTTTGGAGATTTACCAAAAAAGAAAAAAGACAATTTATTTGTAATCCATCAAACTTTGAATTGTGTGACAGGTGTGCAGTGTTGGGAAGGTGACTTTTAAAATGTATTCCCTTACACATTACAGATTACATACCCCAAAATGTAGTCTGTAACAGAATCTATTAAATTACTTCAAGTGAGTAATGTAATCTGAATACTTTGGATTACTTGATTTGCTGTAGAGAAGCAAAGATGAGGAAACTTTACCGTATTAAAAATATTATTGATAGAAGAGGAGGAGACACACAGTGTGGACACACAGCATGATTTAGTCCTGTTAAATCCTGTTTTAGACCTGGTTTAGATCTAGTTTAGACCTGGTTTTAGTCCTGGTTTGGTCCTGGTTTAGACCTGGTTTTAGTCCTGGTTTAGATCTAGTTTAGACCTGGTTTAGATCTAGTTTAGACCTGGTTTTAGTCCTGGTTTAGATCTAGTTTAGACCTGGTTTAGATCTAGCTTAGACCTGGTTTTAGACCTGGTTTAGATCTAGTTTAGACCTGGTTTTAGTCCTGGTTTAGACCTGGTTTAGACCTGGTTTAATTTCCAGCAATGAGTGGAATTAAAAAAAAATAATTTAAAAATAAAAATAATGTAAAAACAGGAAAATACCGCAGTGTAATCCATTTATTTCAACAAAGTAACTGTAATCCAATTACCACTCACTGAAACAGTAACTGTAACTGAATACAGTTTCTAATAATTTGTACTCTGATTATGTAACTCTGGTACATGTAATCTGTTACTCCCCGACACTGCAGGTATGACAGCTATTTTCCCAACCCCGTCCAGTGTGGATTATTTTAACATTCGTACAAATGTTATCGTGTGTTTTTGGGAGAGATCAGACTTGGTTTTGCTTTTGAGACTTGTGTGAAAAGAAGAGGAGAGTGGAGAGAAATGGATAAAGTGGTGGTGGTGAAGAGGAGGAGATGGAGAGGCTGAGAGGCTGTTGTTGTGCTGCTGTGGGGTGATGGGGCAGGTGGAGGGGAGAGAGAGTGCATTCCTCTTGTTTTATTTATAAAAAATAGGGAAAAGGTGCAAGAAAAAACTACAAACATATTTTATAGTCTCCATGCATCCATTTTTTAAAGTCTAATATCATTTGATTGTCATTGTTTCATGTACTTCACCAGATTGAAGTTCTTTTATTTTATATATTTGTTGCTCTGTAGTATCATGGAGAGTATTATTCACTCTATTGAAGTTACTTGTAGTAGTAGGATATAGTATATATAGTAGTATTATTATACAGGAGGTCCCAAAAAATGTGACATCATTTCACAGGCCAATCATTTTGGTAATTCTTGTTGAAATAAGCTCAGATGTGCGGCTGAGTTCGGTGGCTTATGCAGGACTAAAGGATCTAGAGCTGCAAACTGTCACTCCAGGAATCTGCCTTTCCAAACTTGATCTCCTTACAGACTTCTTGGGGCTTCGCAAGAGTTTTTCATGAACTTGCTCGACCTTTTCCTCTAATGTTGATGATGATCTACCAGATCCTTTGGTCCTGCATAAGATTCTTCCTCCAGATTTGTTTTACAGTTGGTGAAGTTTTTCCAGATGTTGTATTGAAGCTGCACAGTCTTGGGTGAGTGGGTGCAGAAGATTCTAGACACAAAATGACTTCTGTTTGGGAGTGAACGGATCAACCTGAAAACAGAACAAAATAAAACATTAAATATAAAATCTTGATCTGCTTCTTTACGTTCTGTGAAAATTGGAGCTTATTTCAACAAGGATTGACAAAATGATTGGTCTGTGAACTGCTGGGGACAGTCTGTAGTATAACTCATGTGTGTCTCTTTGCAGTGTCCTGGAGAGTCCACATTACAGCAGCATTATTCACTGTACTGAAGTATAAATAGTTATTATTGTAGTAGTATACAGTATATAGTAGTATTGTAGTATAACTCTTCTGTCCATGTCTCTGTAGTGTCCTGGAGCCCATATGACAGCAGCAGTATTCTTTGTACTCAAGTAGTTCCTGTAGTATTGTAGTATCCTGTCTGTTTCTCTGTAGTGTCCTGGAGAGTCTGCATTATAACACGATTATTCATTGTATTAAAGTGTAGTTACTGCAGTATTACTGTATTCCTCTGTGTGTTTGTGAAGTGTCCTGCAGAGTCCATATTACAGTAGTATTGTTGACTGTATTGAAGTACATATACTGTTACTGCAGTATTACAGTATTCCTCTGTGTGTTTGTGTAGTGTCCTGGAGAGCCCGAGTCGACTGGACGAGGAGCACCGTCTGATCGCTCGATACGCCGCGAGGCTCGCCGCCGAAGCAGGAAACTCTACGGTCAGTCGCACGAACACACTGTCCACTGAGAGACGCCTCCTCCTGTGTCCCCCGTCTCCTCCTCTCTCCTTCTCTCTCCTCCTGTCTCCTCCTCTCTCCTCCTGTCTCCTCCTGTCTCCTCCTGTCTCCTCCTGTCTCCTCCTGTCTCCTCCTGTCTCCTCCTGTCTCCTCTTCTCTCCTCCTGTCTCCTCCTGTCTCCTCCTCTCTCCTCCTGTCTCCTCCTGTCTCCTCCTCTCTCCTCCTGTCTCCTCCTGTCTCCTCCTCTCTCCTCTTCTCTCCTCCTCTCTCCTCCTGTCTCCTCTTCTCTCCTCCTCTCTCCTCCTGTCTCCTCCTCTCTCCTCCTGTCTCCTCCTCTCTCCTCCTGTCCCCTCTTGTCTCCTCCTCTCTCCTCTTTCTCTCCTACTGTCTCCTCTCTCTCCTCCTCTCTCCTCCTCTCTCCTCTCTCTCCTCCTCTCTCCTCCTCTCCTCCTGTCTCCTCCTTCTCCTCTCTCCTCCTGTCTCCTCCTCTCTCCTCCTGTCTCCTCCTGTCTCTCTCCTCCTCCTCCTGTTTCCTCCTCTCTCCTCCTGTTTCCTCCTCCTTTCTCCTGTCTCCTCCTCTCTCCTCCTGTCTTCCTCCTGTCTCCTCCCTCTCCTCCTGTCTCCTCCTCTCCTCCTCTCTCTCCTCTCTCTCCTCCTCCTCTTGTCTCCTCTTGTCTCCTTCTCTCTCCTCCTGTCTCCTCCTCTCTCTCCTCTCTCTCCTCCTTCTCCTCCTGTCTCTCCTCCTCCTGTCTCCTCCTGTCTCCTCCTCTCTCCTCCTGCTCTCCTCCTCCTCCTCTCTCCTCTCTCCTCCTGTCTCCTCCTCTCTCCTCCTGTCTCTCCTCCTCTCCTCCTCCTCCTCTCCTCCTGTCTCCTCTCTCTCCTCCTGTCTCTCCTCCTCTCTCCTCCTCTCTCCTCCTGCTCTCCTCCTCTCCTCCTGTCTCCTCCTCTCTCCTCTTCTCTCCTCCTCTCTCCTCCTGTCTCTTCCTCTCCTCCTGTCTCCTCCTGTCTCCTCCTCTCTCCTCCTGTCTCCTCCTGTCTCCTCCTGTCTCCTCCTCTCTCCTCCTCTCTCCTCCTGTCCCCTCTTGTCTCCTCCTCTCTCCTCTTCTCTCCTACTGTCTCCTCCTCTCCTCCTGTCTCCTCCTCTCTCCTCTTCTCTCCTCCTCTCTCCTCCTGTCTCCTCCTGTCTCTTCCTCTCCTCCTGTCTCCTCCTCTCTCCTCCTCTCTCCTCCTGTCTCCTCCTCTCCTCCTCTCTCCTCCTGTCTCCTCCTGTCTCCTCCTCTCTCCTCCTGTCTCCTCCTCTCTCCTCCTGTCTCCTCCTGTCTCCTCCTCTCTCCTCCTCTTTCCTCCTGTCTCCTCCTCTCCTCCTGTCTCCTCCTCTCCTCTTGTCCCCTCCTCTCCTCCTTTCTCTGGGTTTATGTTTTCTTCTTCTCCTCTTTCAGCAGCAGTGTCCTCCCTCAGACCTCGGCTTCAACTTCGACGCAAACAAACAACAGAGACAACTGATCGCAGAACTGGAGAACAAGAACAGGTCAGAGTCAGAGGGACGTTAAAGCTCCCACATTTACACAGCTGACTCCATGAGCTTTAAGACATGTAAGAATGTCCTTTCCTCCTCACAAACACACCTGGACTTGTGTTTTGTTTCATTCACACATGTTTGATTTACTCTGTGTTATGAGTCTGTCTACATCTCCAAAGCTCTAAACGCTCTGTTCCACCTTGTGATGTCATGAAGTGTTAGTTTTCATGCTAACAGCTCCTTTTACATTTAGTTCAGTAAAGATGGGAAATTCCATGTCTGAAACCATCCAAATGATTCTAGTGAAGGTGTGTGGACTGCACTTACGGTTTTACCAGATGACATCACAAGGTGGAACAGAGTATTCAGCATACAGGGTTTGATTAGAAAACAGCTTGTGGGAACTTAAAGGAGAGAGGAGCGGTGAATAAAGGCAAGGTATGTTTGTTTGGAGCTCAGTTGGTACATAAAGTCATTCAAAATGCTTTACAGAATAAGAAATATATTAATATATAATACAAACAAATCAAAACATAAATAATCATCATGAAATTAAAAAAGAGAGAGACATTAAATGAGAGAGAAGAGTGAAAACCTTTCAGTCATTCATAGCTTAACTGACTGACTTTGGCCTGTCCCACATGTTCACACTGTTCCAGGTTTGAGCTGCATCAATCTGAAGCTCTGACTCCCCGAGTTTACTCCTGATTCTGGCACCAGGACTAAACCAGGACTAAACCAGGACTAAACAGGACTAAACTAGGACTAAACCAGGACTAAACCAGGACTAAACAGGACTAAACAGGACTAAACCAGGACTAAACCAGGACTAAACCAGGACTTCAGCAAGAGGTCGGTCCCTGAGCTCCTCAGAGTGCAGATGGTTCTAGTGGCACTAACATGTCACAGACACTTGTACACACAGACACTTGTACACACAGACTTGTACACACAGACACTTGTACACACAGACTTGTACACACAGACACTTGTACACACAGACTTGTACACACAGACACTTGTACACACAGACTTGTACACACAGACTTGTACACACAGACACTTGTACACACAGACACTTGTACACACAGACTTGTACACACAGACTTGTACACACAGACACTTGTACACACAGACTTGTACACACAGACTTGTACACAGACACTTGTACACACACTTGTACACACAGACTTGTACACACAGACACTTGTACACACAGACACTTGTACACACAGACACTTGTACACACACTCGTACACACAGACTTGTACACACAGACTTGTACACACAGACACTTGTACACACAGACACTTGTACACACAGTACACACTTGTACTTGTACACACAGACTTGTACACACAGACACTTGTACACACAGACACTTGTACACACAGACTTGTACACACAGACTTGTACACACAGACTTGTACACACAGACACTTGTACACACAGACTTGTACACACAGACACTTGTACACAACACACAGACTTGTACACACAGACACTTGTACACACAGACACACAGACTTGTACACACAGTACACACACTTGTACACACAGACTTGTACACACAGACTTGTACACACAGACACTTGTACACACAGACACTTGTACACACAGACACTTGTACACACACACAGACTTGTACACACAGACTTGTACACACAGACACTTGTACACACAGACTTGTACACACAGACACTTGTACACACAGACACTTGTACACACAGACAGACTTGTACACACAGACACTTGTACACACAGACTTGACACACTTGTACACACAGACACTTGTACACACAGACTTGTACACACAGACACTTGTACACACAGACACTTGTACACACAGACTTGTACACACAGACACTTGTACACACAGACTTGTACACACAGACACTTGTACACACAGACTTGTACACACAGACTTGTACACACAGACACTTGTACACACAGACACTTGTACACACAGACTTGTACACACAGACACTTGTACACACAGACTTGTACACACAGACTTGTACACACAGACACTTGTACACACAGACTTGTACACACAGACACTTGTACACACAGACTTGTACACACAGACACTTGTACACACAGACTTGTACACACAGACACTTGTACACACAGACACTTGTACACACAGACTTGTACACACAGACTTGTACACACAGACTTGTACACACAGACTTGTACACACAGACACTTGTACACACAGACACTTGTACACACAGACTTGTACACACAGACTTGTACACACAGACACTTGTACACACAGACACTTGTACACACAGACTTGTACACACAGACACACGTACACACAGACTTGTACACACAGTACACACAGACTTGTACACACACACTTGTACACACAGACTTGTACACACAGACACTTGTACACACACAGACTTGTAACACACAGACTTGTACACACAGACACTTGTACACACAGACTTGTACACACAGACACTTGTACACACACTTGTTACACACAGACTTGTACACACAGACTTGTACACACAGACACTTGTACACACAGACACTTGTACACACAGACTTGTACACACAGACTTGTACACACAGACACTTGTACACACAGACACTTGTACACACAGACTTGTACACACAGACACTTGTACACACAGACTTGTACACACAGACTTGTACACACAGACACTTGTACACACAGACACTTGTACACACAGACACTTGTACACACAGACACTTGTACACACAGACTTGTACACACAGACACTTGTACACACACACTTGTACACACAGACTTGTACACACAGACACTTGTACACAGACACTTGTACACACTTGTACACACAGACTTGTACACACAGACACTTGTACACACAGACACTTGTACACACAGACACTTGTACACACAGACACTTGTACACACAGACTTGTACACACACACACAGACACTGACACTTGTACACACAGACTTGTACACACAGACACTTGTACACACAGACACTTGTACACACAGACTTGTACACACAGACTTGTACACACAGACTTGTACACACAGACACTTGTACACACAGACACTTGTACACACAGACACTTGTACACACAGACTTGTACACACAGACACTTGTACACACAGACACTTGTACACACAGACACTTGTACACACAGACTTGTACACACAGACTTGTACACACAGACACTTGTACACACAGACACTTGTACACACAGACTTGTACACACAGACTTGTACAAGCAGATCCGCTTTCAAGTCTCTGAGCCACAGGGGGCAGTGCAGAGTCCTGAGCACAGGACGTATGTGCTCGTTCTTCCTGGTTGGAGTCAGGACCTGAGTTGTCGTCTTCTGGATGTACAGCAGCGTCTCAGTCGTGTCAGAGCGTCTCCGCAGACTATTACAGGAGTCTAACCTATTGGAGCCAAATGTATGGACAAGTCTCTCCAAGTCTGATTCAGACAGTGTACTGTATATTTGATTTTCGCAGTTTTTAGATGGTAGAAGGCTGCAGATGTCATTGATTTGATGTGGCTGTTAAAGTTCAAGTCTGAGTCCATTAAACAGGAGCCAGAATTTAACTTTACTTTAAAATATTATTACTCAAGTAGAAGCAACAAATAATGACCCAAATATTTCCTCAAGGGTAAAAGTATTTGGAGAAAGTATAGTACTTGATCACTGAGTAACAGTTTGGATGTAAAATGCATTTATTTATATTTGACAGACATACAAAGAATGAACAGAATATAATATTTCTATGGAATGTACTACGAAATGAGAGAAACTGAAGGAGCAACACAAATGTTCAAAACATTTCATATTGTCAATGTAAAGAATTTGTCACTTTATAACAACTTCGCCCAACAGTGAGAAGAGAAACTTGTCTCCTTGTGTTAATTGACTTCACAAAAAAGTCGTGTGAAGTGAATAAATAACACAATGTAAAGTACTTTCCTCATCCCAAACACAACTGGAGTTTTGTTTCATTCACATGTTTAACACACAAACCCTGTGGATTTAGACTGAGTTCTTCTCTCAAACAGAAAACACTCTGTTCCACCTTGTGATGTCATGTGGTAATACAACTGCTCCACTGTGTTTTTAAACTCCATAAATCTTCATTTAGATGATTTTAGCCCTGGAAATGGCAACTGCTACTGAACAAATTAACTTGTAAACAGCCGCTTCATGACATCACAAGGTGGACCAGAGCATTTTGAGCTTTGGGGATGTTGTGATGTGCTCTGTCATGATGTGTCATATGCTGTTACGTCGTGTTGTGTTCTAATGTTGTCACGCTGTTGTGTTCAGGGAGATTCTTCAGGAGATCCAGAGGCTGCGTCTGGAGCATGAACAGGCCTCACAGCCGACCCCAGAGAAGGCCCAACAGAACCCCACGCTGCTCACAGAACTGCGCCTGCTCAGGTCAACCTCCACATGCCACATTTAGAACAACAAGAACATCTACCAATGCATATTATTCATTTAAACATGGGATCATACCACTTCTATGCTGATGATTCCCAAATCTATTAACCACTTAATAAAATCAGCACCTCCCTGACACCTCATGGGCTCTTTTCAAGAATACACTGAACCTACAGCATCAACCTCGACATCATCAGTGATGAAGATTTTAAGTTTGACAAGCAGATAAATGCAGTGGTTCAATCCAGTTTTTATCACGTGCGCCTTTTATCCACACTCAAACCGGTTTGATCTTTTAGTGATTTGGAGCGAGTGATCCAGGCTTTTATCTCTTCACGTCTTGACTCTTGTAACGTCCTGTACACTGATATGAGCCAAACTCACCTGTCACTCTGACACTGAGTTTAAACTGCAGCACGTCACACGTCGTAGAGAACACATCAACACCTATTTGTCCTCAGTGCTCTGGCTCCACGTTCATTTAAAAGATTTAAAGACATTTAGAGTTGATTTTAAAAGGTTATTGTTAATTTGTTTTTAAGCACTTCATGAAATTGCCCCCAATGCACGTCTCAGATCTCACTGTTCCTCCTCTCCTTCACACTCTAAGGTTTGAGGTTTGAGTGCTCCAACCTGTCGTCCCAATAACGAGACTCCGGGGTGACCCTGGTTTGACCCTGGGGTGACCCTGGGGTGACCCTGGGGTGACTGGGTCTTTTCTGTGGTTAAGAGCGCCCTTTCATTCGATTCTTTTAAGTCTCGTTTAAAAACACACTTTTACTCTCTGGTTTTTAACGCGGCGTGAGAATTGTGTGCTCCTCTGACAGTTTTTTATTGATTTAATTTGCAATTTTTCTGTTTGCTAATTTTAGTATTTTTAGTGCTCATTAAGACAATCAAACTAGTCAAATCAAACAAGAGCAAAAACACCAATAAATAATAAAAAGGTAAAAAACATATTCAGACGTGTACCAGTTCCCCAAAATATGCACGATGGGTCAAATCCAACAGACATAGTCCAGACCAAGACCTGATCTGAAGACTGTCCCTGCTGCACTGAAGGACGGCTCAAATACAGAGGGCACATTTTCACAAAGGGACAATAAACTGCAGTTAAATCATGTAACTTTTCTGGCGACGTCTTCTTCTCTCCATGGAAATAGATATAGTGATAGAAATGTTGTGGAACATTCTAGACAAACCAAGCGTCAGATCTCCACGCAGACGAGCAGGTGGTAAAGTTCCACTGTGGCACCTTTAAATAAACCAGAGGCAGAGCTCGTCGTTCTGCTGCAGTGTGCGGAGTCTGAGCTCATTCTTCTTCACGACTAATGCTCTGATCCTCCGCACACTTAAATCAGAGTGTGCATCTGTCTCTGCTCGCTCAGCTCCAGCAGAGAACCACCAACAAGATCAACTCCCAACACCTGGGTCTGGCCTGTTTCATCTGGAGATCACGGCTGCACTGGTTGGGCTAAAAACTGAAGGATTCTGTTCAGAGCAAAGACGGTTTATCTGCACAGAACAATGTGTGCACAAAGAACTTTAAGACATTAAATATTAATAAATAACACAAATAATCAACATAAAATGAACATTAAAAGAGAAGAGTCCTGTAGTCCTGCTATAGTCCTGCTTTAATTTTGATTTAGTCCTGGTTTAGTTCTGGTTTAGTCCTGGTTTAGTTCTGGTTTAGTTCTGGTTAAGTTCTGGTTTAGTCCTTGTTTATTCCTGGTTTAGACCTGGTTCAGTTCTAGTTTTGTCCTGGTTTTGTCCTGGTTTAGTCCTGGTTTAGACCTAGTTTAATCCTGGTTCAGTACTGATTTAGTTGTGCTTTAGACCTGGTTCAATACTGATTTAGTCCTGGTTTAGTCCTGGTTTAGTCCTCACATAGTCTAATCTTTATTTGGGTCAGGATGGTCAGATTTGAAATGCAAAGTTCCAGAGGAACAGAGGAATTGTGGCGTCTGTGTGTTTGAGGTGAAACCTCAGGTCAGTCATGTTTCATGTTTCAGTCAGATGAAGCAGTTCACATGAGTCTTCATCAGATTTGTGATGGAACAGTGAGTCTCTAATGGAAATGATCAGGTTCAGTTGGAGGAAGGAATTGTCCTTTTATATATTTGTTATAAAAGTAGGGAGGTATGATGAGTGTATCTGGTTTAGTCCTGGAATAGAACTCTTTTCATCTTTGTGTCAGGATTTCTAGGTTGGACTGAGTTTATTTAAGGTGGGACTTAAAATGTGAAGTATGTAAAGTGCAGTATATTCTGTGGCCACTAGAGGGCAACAATAAACCAAGAGCAAAGGGGGAATGGAAGAGTTGCTCTAATTCCTCACGGCACTGACATTATTATTCTAAATCTATATTAATACTAAATGAATAATTGTAACGCAGCACAATATGTCAGATAATATTTGATGTGTAAGTTTACACACATCACTGGTGCAGGGCTTCTACAGTGAACAGAGAAAATGAACCTGCAGACACACTCCCACACTGCATTTAAACATCGCTCAATAATATTTTATGCTCAAATCAAAAGAGCCATAGCATCTAATATTTGCAAAGGGAAGAATAAAGTAAACTGTAACTATTAAAAAGTAATACTGGACAATTATAAGTGTGACTGAAGAGCTTCATCTCTGAAACAGAACAGTGTCTTTCAATAATCCTCTCTTTTGTTTTTCAGACACAGGAAGGACGAGCTGGAGCGGCGCATGTCGGCTCTTCAGGAGAGCAGGAGAGAGCTGATGGTCCAACTGGAGGGACTGATGAGACTGCTCAAGGTATCGCCATGGAAACAGACACACCCATGGATATGGAGTGTTCAGATTAGGGTGTTTTTACAAAATAATATTTTAGTCTGAACACCTCCTTTCATTTTTTATATTATTAACTTTATTTAGATAAACCTTTTTCACAACGACCGTTGTGTGTCTGTAGGTTTGTGGAACTTCCAGTTATTGATTTTCTATGGCTAAATGTGTGTGTAAAACTGTGTTACGGCTCGCGGCCTGGCTCCAGCTCCTCCTCGCCTGGTGCTCCTCATTTGTTTTACTGCTTGTACCTTCCATATTTGCATGTCCTGTGTGGTCCCTGACACCTGATTGGTGGGGCGTGGTTCTGTCGCTGTTGGACTGGTACTGACGTCCGTCGTGCTGTGTTTGGAGGATTGACGTCCCGTTCCTCCAATCCTCTTTCTACACATCCGTCGCCTCCACCAATAAAAGTGCTGTGCGTCTGTTCCTCCTGGCGGCTGGATGGCAGTTTCAGTTCCTCACTCTCACTGACAGACGTTCACTAGTGCCTTCTTTGTTATTGTCAAGTGTGTATTCGGTCTGTAGGGGTCGTTATCAACCTATTTTTTGTTATTATTGCCAGTCGAAAGCAGAACAACGAGCACACATTAGTCACACACTCAACTAAACTCATGTTATGATCATGAATAATGTAAGTAATACGTCCTTCAGTCACAGGCTGAATGCTGCAGATGTTCACAGATTATACATGTGTCACATTCCAACTGCACAACACATCATGAAATCAATGTTTAATAGTAACAGTAGAATGAGTCGGATTGAACAAGTTCCTTCTGTTTTCTTCATGATCAGAACATGAGTAGAGTTTGTTGTGTGACTAATGTGGCTCGTTGTTTCCTTTAAGTTTTGCTCTTTCTTCTCATTTACACACACATTTACACACACATTTACACACACATTTACACACACATTTACACACAATTTACACACACATTTACACACACATTTACACACAATTTACACACACATTTACACACACATTTACACACATTTACACACACATTTACACACACATTTACACACATTTACACACATTTACACACACATTTACACACATTTACACACACATTTACACACACATTTACACACACATTTACACACATTTACACACATTTACACACATTTACACACACATTTACACACACATTTACACACAATTTACACACATTTACACACACATTTACACACATTTACACACATTTACACACATTTACACACACATTTACACACATTTACACACACATTTACACACATTTACACACACATTTACACACACATTTACACACACATTTACACACACATTTACACACACATTTACACACACATTTACACACACATTTACACACACATTTACACACAATTTACACACACATTTACACACACATTTACACACACATTTACACACACATTTACACACACATTTACACACAATTTACACACACATTTACACACACATTTACACACACATTTACACACACATTTACACACAATTTACACACACATTTACACACACATTTACACACACATTTACACACATTTACACACACATTTACACACACATTTACACACATTTACACACACATTTACACACATTTACACACACATTTACACACATTTACACACACATTTTGCCATAGAAAACTATTAACCAAAAGTTCCACAGACCTACAGGGCAGGACTCCCGGCTGTTGTGAAAAGATCTATTTTTGCCATCGAGAAAGAAAGTCATGTGTTTTATGAGACGCTTCAAACCAGATTTTTGAAGCTGTTAAAGAGTTTTTTGTTTCAACATAAAAATGAGATGAATCAGAAACAAACGAGGTCAAATGAATCTTCACATCCACACACTCTGTATGTTTGGATTGTTCATGTTTTGGTAAATTCTTCTAGGTACATACACTGAGATCCACTAATGACCCTGTTTGACCTTGTTCTCTCCCTCCCTTTTTCTTCTTTGTCTCCCTCTCTCTTTTTTTTCTGTCTCTCTCTCTCTTTCCCCTCCCTCCCCTCTCTATCTCTGTATCTCTCTTTTCTTCTGTCCTCCTTTTCTCTCCTCCTCTTCACTTACTCACTCTTCTTTCATCTCCCTCTCCGCCTCTTTCTCTCTCACTGTCTGTTTTCTCTCCTTTCTCCTCTTTTCCCTTTCTCTGTCCACCTCTTTCTTTTCCCCTAACTCTCTTTCTCTCCTCCCTCCCTCCCTACCTACTTCCCTTTTCTCACTCTCTCTCTTTCCCTACCCTTCTGTCTCTCGTTCTCTCTTTTCTCTACTTCCTCCTTTCTCCTCTCTTCCCTTTTTCTCTCTGCCTCACACTTTCCCTTTTTTCACTCTTTCTCAATCCCTTCCCCTCTTTCTTCTCTCTCCTCCCTCTCCCCCTCTTTTTCCCTCATCCCTTTCTGCCTCTCCTCTCTTCTTGCTCTCTCTCCATCCCTCTCTCCTTTCCTCCTCTCTTCCCTCTCCCCCTCCTTCTTTTCTTTCTGTCCGCTTCCCCTTCTTACCTTTTCTCTCCCCTTCTCTCCATTCCTTGTTCTTTCTCCTCTCTGTCTCTCCCTCTCTCTCTCTCTCTTCCTCTTTTCTGTGACAGGATGAGGAGCAGAAACAGGCTGTAAGTTTTTCTCTTCTTCATCTGTGTCTCTCGTGAGTGTGGCTCTTGACCCTGTGACCTGCTCCTTCATTTGTCTCCTTCATGTCTGTGTGTTTGTGTGTGTGTCTCTCTGTGTGTGTTTGTGTGTGTGTGTGTGTGTGTGTGTGTGTGTGTGTGTGTGTGTGTGTGTGTGTGTGTGTGTGTGTGTGTGTGTGTGTGTGTGTGTGTGTGTGTGTGTGTGTGTGTGTGTGTGTGTGTGTGTGTGTGTGTGTGTGTCTGTGTGTGTGTGTGTGTGTGCGTCGTCTTCACTCTTTTTTCTTACCACACACTTTAAAGACGCTCTGTGAACATTAAACATTTCCATGTAGCATTTATTCATTACAGATGTTTCTACAGCAAGTGAAGTGTTCAAATTGACAAAAATCAATGTGAACGTTTTCTCAGTGTTCATATTAGTCCAGTCTGTTCTAGAGTTAATTTCACATTTTTTTGGAAATGTTCATTAAGTAACATTGGACCAAAGTTCCTGTGTAACCCCAAATCAAGAGTTATATTCATGTGTTGAGAGTAAACAGATAACACTTTGTAGAGTTATTATGGAAGTATAGATGTGCCACAAGTTTTGAATTAGAATATTTCATGATGAATGACATAACTTGAATATAAAATAGCTGAAATGGAAATAATTTGAGTTAAAAAAGCATTAAACATATGATATGTGGGTGTGATTTTACATGAATTTTCAGCATCTTTAAATCAGACAAAACTCAAGTTGCTACATTCAGATAAAAAAAATTAAAATAAAGTTGAGAAATTCACGATGAGAAATTTAAGTTGAGAAATTCGGATTAAAAAAAGTCAAGTTCCCAAATTCAGATGATTGTGTTACTTATAGTGTACTGCTTTATGTTTTCACAGCATATTCAGTTTTGAGTTGTTACAAAATCTGAATTTTTTGAAACCCTGGTGAAGCCTCTTCAGTCTAACAAAAAGAACAAGCTGAGACATCAGTGTTCAGGTTTCTGACGAGGCTGTTTGGAGCCCGTTTCCCAGACTTAAACTGCAATGCTGGACTTTTGTAACGCATACAGACTAAACCAGGACTAAACCAGGTCTAAACCAGGACTAAACCAGGTCTAAACCAGGACTAAACCAGGACTAAAACCAGGTCTAAACCAGGACTAAACCAGGACTAAACCAGGTCTAAACCAGGACTAAACCAGGTCTAAACCAGGACTAAACCAGGATTAAACCAGGTCTAAACCAGGACTAAACCAGGACTAAACCAGGTCTAAACCAGGACTAAAACCAGGTCTAAAACCAGGTCTAAACCAGGACCTAAACCAGGACTAAACCAGGACTAAACCAGGTCTAAACCAGGACTAAACCAGGACTAAACCAGGACTAAACCAGGTCTAAACCAGGTCTAAACCAGGAACTAAACCAGGACTAAAACCAGGACTAAACCAGGACTAAACCAGGTCTAAACCAGGACTAAACCAGGTCTAAACCAGGACTAAACCAGGACTAAACCAGGACTAAACCAGGACTAAACCAGGTCTAAACCAGGACTAAACCAGGACTAAACCAGGTCTAAACCAGGACTAAACCAGGACTAAACCAGGACTAAACCAGGTCTAAACCAGGACTAAACCAGGACTAAACCAGGTCTAAACCAGGACTAAAACCAGGACTAAACCAGGTCTAAACCAGGACTAAACCAGGACTAAACCAGGACTAAACCAGGTCTAAACCAGGACTAAACCAGGACTAAACCAGGACTAAACCAGGTCTAAACCAGGACTAAACCAGGACTAAACCAGGACTAAACCAGGTCTAAACCAGGACTAAACCAGGTCTAAACCAGGACCAAACCGGGACTAAACCAGGACTAAACCAGGACTAAACCAGGTCTAAACCAGGTCTAAACCAGGACTAAACCAGGACTAAACCAGGACCAAACCGGGATTAAACCAGGACTAAACCAGATCTAAACCAGGACTAAACCTGGTCTGGTCCCGGTCTCAATCCTGATCAGTGTACTCAGGCGACCTTCAGGCTCGTCATGACACTCAATACTGGTTCAGACCTGGTTTAGTCCTGGTTTAGTCCTGGTTTAGTCCTGGTTTGGTCCTGGTTTAGTCCTGGTTTAGTCCTGGTTTCCTGGTTTAGTCCTGGTTTAGTCTGGTTTAGACCTGGTTTAGTCCTGGTTTAGTCCTGGTTTAGACCTGGTTTTAGTCCTGGTTTAGTCCTGGTTTAGTCCTGGTTTAGACCTGGTTTAGTCCTGGTTTAGTCCTGGTTTAGTCCTGGTTTAGACCTGGTTTAGTCCTGGTTTAGTCCTGGTTTTAGACCTGGTTTAGTCCTGGTTTAGTCCTGGTTTAGACCTGGTTTAGTCCTCCTGGTTTAGTCCTGGTTTAGTCTGGTTTTAGACCTGGTTTAGTCCTGGTTTAGTCCTGGTTTAGACCTGGTTTAGTCCTGGTTTAGTCCTGGTTTAGTCCTGGTTTAGTCCTGGTTTAGACCTGGTTTTAGTCCTGGTTTAGACCTGGTTTAGTCCTGGTTTAGTCCTGGTTTAGTCCTGGTTTAGTCCTGGTTTAGACCTGGTTTAGTCCTGGTTTAGTCCTGGTTTAGTCCTGGTTTAGACCTGGTTTAGTCCTGGTTTAGTTCCCGGTTTTGGTCCTGGTTTAGACCTGGTTTAGTCCTGGTTTAGTCCTGGTTTAGACCTGGTTTAGTCCTGGTTTAGTCCTGGTTTAGTCCTGGTTTAGTCCTGGTTTAGTCCTGGTTTAGTCCTGGTTTAGTCTGTATGCGTTACAAAAGTCCAGCATTGCAGTTTAAGTCTGGGAAACGGGCTCCAAACAGCCTCGTCAGAAACCTGAACACTGATGTCTCAGCTTGTTCTTTTTGTTAGACTGAAGAGGCTTCACCAGGGTTTCAAAAAATTCAGATTTTGTAACAACTCAAAACTGAATATGCTGTGAAAACATAAAGCAGTACACTATAAGTAACACAATCATCTGAATTTGGGAACTTGACTTTTTTTAATCCGAATTTCTCAACTTAAATTTCTCATCGTGAATTTCTCAACTTTATTTATATGCTTTAAAAATCCTGTATGTGAAGTTTTGTCTTGTGTCTAAACTAGAAGTGAAGAGCTCTGATCTTTGAACACTTCAGAGCAGAGATGGGACGTGCAAATTGTGACTTGGACTCAAGTCAGACTTGAGTCAATATTTTTAGAAATTGATAAAATGGACTAAGACTTGGGTCTCGACTTGGACTTGAAGGTCAGTGACTTGGGACTTGAAGTGGACTTGAGCTGTGACTTGAGGAGACTTGAGAAGCTCTTTTAAATCTGAATTCTTTCTATTCTGACTGCAGTGATTCACTCTAAGATCCTGTCAAGACGTTTATAAAGGAAAAACTCTTATAAACTCTATAAATACTCATATATATATATATATATATATATATATGAGTATTATTATATATATATATATATATATATATATATATATGAGTATTTATATATATATATATATATATATATATATATATATATTATATTATATTTTTTTTATATATATACTATGATTTTTTAAAGTACAATTTATCTTAAAATTCATATAAATTCCAAAAATCTAAGCCATATTTTGTACTTTAGTTTAAAGACTTGAAATGACTTGAAGCTCAAAGCAGACGACTTGGACTCAGATTTGAGGTCAAAGACTTGAAACTTACTCAACTGATTTTACTGTAGACAGGAAACAGCTGACACGATCACGCTCACAGATTTATATCCTGTGGTCCACAGACAGATTCTTTTTGCACGTTTAAAAATTGTTTAAGATCAAAAATCCTGTAGTGTGTGGCGGCCTTAAGTCGATGTAGAACACCGTCTCTTTTGTGTACCAGTTTGTCTCTGTGGAGCACAGTAAGAACAGATATTTTTCAAGACATTTCTTTCACAGTAGAAATAACTGTATTTGAATAAGTGAAAGATCGATGAGTTTAATGACATACTGTGGAACATTCCAGACAAAGCAAATACATCTCCATGGAGACCTTCATCAGAAAAGAGAGGTGACCCCAATCACTGTCACAATGTCTGTTTTTCTACATATTTTTGACACATAAAACCACCTGTAACTGAATCAATGTAAAGTAGAACTGTTTAATGTCACACTGTGGAACATTCCAGGCAGAGCAATGACGTATCCATGGAAACAAGAAAGTGACAGACGCCCAACCCCTAAGAAAGTTACACAGTGCACCTTTAACTCGCTTATAAATGTAAAAAACAAGCAAACAAACATAAAAATCTGCAAAAATAACACATTTGGACTGTAGTTTTGGTGGTAAATTGGTGGTTTTCAGATTTTACTCCCAGATTTCCTTATTGATCACATTATACTTTTCCATGAAATCTCTTTTCTGTTCATGACTAGACCCAAGAACTCACAGCGTTACAACACAAATCTGTATTCTAATGATATTTATTTGAGCTGCTTCCATCTGTGCTGAATCTTACAGGCCTATAGAACTCTGTGATGTCGTCTGAAACCAGTGAAGGGACAGCTCTGGTTTATAAAGCTACTTGAGTCTATCTTGTCCATCATCTATCCAACATTTCCTTTTCCCAAACTCCTTTTCCAGAGTCTGGGTCCAAAAAGTGGGATTTTCCTCCAAATGTCTCTCTCTCCGTCTCCTGCTCCCTCTGTTCATCCATCTGCCCACTGGAAAACTGCCACAAACTCAGAGCGAGAAAAAAAAAAAAAAAACTCTGTGAAAACCCTGAGACTGAGACCGTGTCCTGGTCTACACTCCACACATGGTTTCCATTTAAGGTGGATTTAAGGCGGATTTAAGGTGGACCTCTGCAGATGCACACAGCGAGTGGAGAGACCAGAATTTGTTTGTCCAGTTAGGATTAAAGGTGCATTGTGTAACTTTTTGGATACCAGTCTGTCACCTTCTTGTTTCTATGGAGATGTCATTCTCTGCCTGAAATGTTCCACAGTGTGACATTAAACAGCTCTACTTTACATTTATTCATTTACAGGTGGTTTTATGTCTCAAAAATACCTAGAAAAACAAACATTGTGACTGTGAGCGGGGTCGCCTCTCCACAGATCTGACCTGTAACTTAGTCTTGTTTGGTCTCCATGATGATAGAAACTTAGAGTAACTTAGAAGATAGTAGCTTTGGTGGAGGGTCCGTCAAACGCTTTTCTCCATGGTCTGGAATATTTCACAGTATGGCATTAAACCTTTCTATCTTCATGAAGACCAAACCAGACCAAGTTACAGGTCAGATCTGTGGAGAGCCTGTTTTTCTAGGTATTTTTGAGAGAAACCACCTGTAATTGAATCAATGTAAAGTAGAGCTGTTTAATGTCACACTGTGGAACATTCCAGACAAAGGAATAACATCTCCATGAAGAAAACCATTTGACGGACCCGTCACCAGAAAAGTTACACAGTGCACCTTTAAACGAGGCTGAATTATATGATCATAGTTCTTAAATCTGTCTGTTTCTATAATGCCAGAGCCTTCGTGTGTGTGTGGGACTTTTTCCACTTCACTTCTCATGTTATTGTTCTGAATCATTAACTCACCAAAACCCGACCTCCAGCCCAAAGTTTAACTTTAACCAAACGAAGGAGGAGGAGGAGAGATACCAAAGATTAACAAGGAAAAAAATCAAGCTGCACAAGAAGGAAAGAGGGAATTGTGTATATGCAAAGAGTGATGCAAGTTTAGACACTGAAAATCATTTTAATAAAAGTAAACTGGATTTTGATTCAGTACAAACACTTTTTTCCATGGAGATGTTATTGCTTTGGAATGTTTCACAAAAGAAGAAACCTTTCTATCTTTTCAAGCAAAGCAGTTAGATAGTAGATCTCCATGGAGACCAGCAGGTGATGGACCCTTCATCAGAAAAGTTACATTAAAGTCAAGTCAAACTTTTCCAAAAGCTACAAAATGAAACATGTTTTTTACTAGTTTTTGTCTTGTAAACCAACTAGAAAACATGAATCTACTCTTTGTCTTTATTACCATTATGTAACTTTTGTGGTGGAGGGTAAGTCAAATTGCTTTTCTTCATGGAGATGTTTTCTGGAATGTTCCACAGTATGGCATTAAACCTTTCTATCTTCATGAAGACCAAACCAGATCAAGTTACAGGTCAGATCTGTGGAGAGGTGACCCCGCTCACAGTCACAGTGTCTGTTTTTCTACGTATTTTTGACAAATAAAACCACCTGTAATTGAATAAATGTAAAGTAGAGCTGTTTAAAGTCACACTGTGGAACATTCCAGACAGAGCAATGACATCTCCATAGCTCCCACTGGTACACGCCCACTGTGACGTACACGCCCACTGTGACATACACTTTGTGACTTACACACCCACTGTGATGTACACACTGTGACGTACACACTGTGACGTACACACTGTGACGTACACACTGTGACATACACACTGTGACGTACACACTGACGTACACACCCACTGTGACGTACACACGACCACACTGTGACGACACGTACACTTTGTGACGTACACACTGTGACGTACACACACCACACTGTGTACACTGTGACGTACACACTGTGACGTACACACTGTGACGTACACACTGTGACGTACACACTGTGACGTACACACTGTGACGTACACACTGTGACGTACACACTGACGTACACGCCCACTGTGACATACACACCGTGACGTACACACCACACTGTGACGTAACACGACCCACTGTGACATACACACACTGTGACGTACACACTGTGACGTACACACTGTGACGTACACACTGTGACATACACACTGTGACGTACACACACTGTGACGTACACACTGTGACGTACACACACGCCCACTGTGACATACACACCGTGACGTACACACCGTGACGTACACACCGTGACGTACACACCGTGACGTACACACCGTGACGTACACACCGTGACGTACACACCGTGACGTACACACTGTGACATACACACCCACTGCGACGAACACGCCCACTGTGACATACACTTTGTGACTTACACATCCACTGTGACGTACACACTGTGATGTACACACTGTGACATACACACCCACTGCGACGAACACGCCCACTGCGACATACACTTTGTGACGTACACACTGTGACGTACACACTGTGACGTACACACTGTGACGTACACACTGTGACGTACACACTGTGACGTACACACTGTGACGTACACGCCCAGTTTGATGTTCTTCGTGGGTGATAGTCGTAGGATTGGTCAGCATTGTGTCGTTATTTTGGTCCAAATGTAAAAAACACTCTGTTCTAGTGTGATGTGCAGCAATCCACAAGAGGGGTCCACAGCCTGGATTAGTCCTGGTTTAGTCCTGATTTAGTCCTGGTTTGGTCCTGGTTTAGTCCTGGTTTAGTCCTGGTTTAGTCCTGGTTTAGTCCTGGTTTAGTCCATGCGGCGCTTTGTTGTTCTGATGTTTACGGTGATGTCAGTTTTCACTGGACACCACAGTTTTCTAACACATGAAGTCAGAGCACGTGTTTCTTTTATGAAGTCATTTTAGATTAATATTGTGATTTAAAATATAAAAATGATAACAAAATGATCCATGAGATCAGAGGTTCAAATATAACAGATACAAGCATAATAAGTCTGATTTAAAACCACCCTAACTGGTCTATTTCCTGTGTATTTCTTGTATATTTCCTGTGTATTTCTTTTGTATTTCCTGTGTATTTCTAGTATATTTCCTGTGTATTTCTTTTGTATTTCCTGTGTATTTCCCGTGTATTTCTTGTATATTTCCTGTGTATTTTTTTTGTATTTCCTGTGTATTTCTTGTATATTTCCTGTGTATTTCTTTTGTATTTCCTGTGTATTTCTAGTGTATTTCCTGTGTATTTCTTGTATATTTCCTGTGTATTTCTTGTGTATTTCCTGTGTATTTCTTGTGTATGACTATAGTATTTCTGGTTTGTTCCAGTCTCAGTGTGGCAGCTCCCCTCACTCGTCTCCCAGTCACGGCGCAGGCTGCTCGATGCCGATGCCCATCCGCTCCACCTCGGCAGGCTCCACCCCCACACACACCCCCCAGGACTGTCTGAGTGGGGTGGGCGGGGACGTGCTCGAGGCCTTCGCTCAGGGTAAACTATCAACCCTCAACACTATTATGTCAAAATATAACACTAATCATGTTATAACAACAAAGATGCTTTACAACATTCTTCATTCACTCCACACCACACTGTAGTCACAGCTGCCCTGGGACAGACTGACTGAAGGTACAGACAATCTGTCCCATCAGTAAGGCTGTGCAATGAACTGAGTTTTGATTTCAATTTGAGTGTCAAATGATTTCCAAATTCTAATAATCGAGTTAAAACGATTTATGTGGCGGTGAAAGTGAGTGGGCGTGACTACTGTAGTTTTGTGAGGATTCACGTGGTGCCCCCCAAGCACCTGGTGCTGTACAAACTGTGAGGAGCTACAGTTCTGATCATCTCAGCAGGACTCACATCTGTCTCACTAGTTAATAGATGATATATGATATTTGTGCTGCTGGACTTATTTTCTTTGCTAAAGTGTTTGCTCTGCTCCACATGTAAACAAACAGCCCCATGTGATGACGTCATCTGCCGTGGCTCGGTACAGTTGTGCAGAACTTAGGTTACGTTCACACTGAAACAAATCACCGTATCACCATATCACAAACGATTTGCGTTCAGACACGTCATTTCTGTGTCCACAAGCCTACCCTATCCATACAACTTTTACAACATTTTACAGAAATTAAACTCAAACCCACATGGCTAATTTGCATAAACTAAACGCTGATAAAAACAGGTCACTGTTGTGTCGCTGATGCAGTTCAGCTTATGTTGGACTAAAGGACACGACTTAGTAGAATATGAGTGTTCTTTCTGTGACAGAGGGGTGTTCTGCTGATGCTGTTCTGTGTTTCTGTCGTGTTGGAGATGGTTCATGTGAAACCTTTTAGAGATTATACATGTGCAGGTCGTACACACAGACACATGTTTATATGAATGGACACATATTCAGGCCTCTTAGTGTTTTGTCGGTGAATTACTTCATGCTGCACAGACCTACATCAGAGTATCAGAGTTTTCAGGAGTCCACACAGTGCTGGATCACATCTGTACGAACATGAATTCGTGGGAGCTGGAGGCACCAGATCGTTCCGTCTCTGGAGCCATTTTCCATCAGATTAGTGTGAACAAACACTGCACCCACAACCAAAACGTCTTGAATACTCACTAGTGTGGACGGGGCTATAAGGATGAGTGCAGAACATAGAACCCTCAGCAATCAGCACGGTTCTATACTCCTAGTGTGAGTCACCCTAAAGCTTAACAAGCTTTATTGTGGGATATTTTTATGTAAATGAGTATATTTGTTTTATTTTTTAAATATAGAGATTGTGGAACAGATGGATATTTAGTTTATTTTGGAGACATTTATGTTTTTCTGCCTTATTTCATGTTAGAAGTGTATTTTATTCATTTTACATTTTATACATCTCTAAACTGCTCTAAGGTTCAGATGTGCAGCCTTTATTTATTCAATAATTTTTTGAGACAATTGGTGAATAAATGTATCATGTAACTAAAATGTAATCGTTTGAATAATATTGATTTCAATATTGACCAAAATAATCCTGATAATGATGTTTCCATAATTGAGCAGAGCTACGATCGGCACCACCACATCACACACACACACAGACACACACACACACACACACACACACATCACTCACACACACACACAGACACACACACACACACACACATCACTCACACACACACACACACACACACACACACACACACACACACACACACACACACACACACACACACACACACTCACACACACACACACACACACACACACACACACACACACACACACACACACACACACACACACACACACACACACACACACACACACACACACACACACACACACACACACACACACACACACACACACACACACACACACACACACACACATCACTCACACACACACACACACACACACACACACACACACACACACACTCACACACACACACACACACAGACACACACACAGCACACACACACACACACACACACACACACACACACACACACACACACACACACAGCACACACACACACACACACACACACACACACACACACACACACACACACACACACACACACAGACACACACACACACACACACACACACACACACACACACACACACACACACACACACACACACACACACACACACACACACAGACACACACACACACACACAGCACACACACACACACACACACACACACACACACACACAGCACACACACACACACACACACACACACACACACACACACACACACACACACACATGACACACACAGACACACACACACACAGACACACACACACACACACACAGACACACACACACACAGACACACACACACACACACACACACACACACACACACACACACACACACACACACACACACACACAGACACACACACACACACACACAGACACACAGACACACACACACACACACACACACACGCACATGCACACAGCTCTTTCACTCTAGGCAATGTGGGTGAAGTGTCTTGCCTAAGGACACAATAACAGTTTTCGTCACTGTGTCCTGCTGTGCTGTTCTCAGCCGTCTCCCATCCAAGTCCTGACCAGGCAGATCTGTCAAGATCAGGCTTTGACAAGATTTCATGTTTTTCAAATTATGACAGACTTTTTGAATCAGTTTTTGATCCATCAAGTGGCAGTTTGTGAAAAAAGTTCAAAGTTACAGGAATCGCTCAGCCTCCTGGTTTGTTTTAATGTGTCAACTGCCAAGGTTTAAATGTGTATGATTATGAAGCTCATGGACATGTGCTCCTGACAGTCAACCTGTGTTGTTCAACATATTGTTCTCCGTCCTGTTACATATGATTTCATTTCTGTGTGTTTCCTCAGGTGTTCCTAGAAATCTTCGAAACGATCTGTTAGTGGCTGCTGATTCCATCACAAACACCATGTCGTCTCTGGTTAAAGAGCTGCACTCAGGTTTGACACTTTCTCTTCATTTCAAGTTCTTTAAAGGTCCTATATTACACCAAACAGACTCCTGCGAGCTGAATCTGTGTTAGAATACTGTTACCTCCTCAAAAACACACCTGGAGTTGAGTCTGTCTACATCTCCAAAGTTCCAAAGGCTCTGTTTCACCTTGTGATGTCATGAAGCGGTAGTTTTCAAGTCAATACCTCCTTTTTCCTTTTGTTCAGTAAATTTTGACAGTTCTCGGGCTCAGTCATCAAAATGATTCCAATGAAGCTACATGGAGTTTAAAAACACAGTGGAGCACTTCCTGTATCACCACATGACATCACAAGGTAGAACAGTGTGTTTTCAGTGTTTGAGAGCCTAACTATGTGTGTTAAACGTGTGAATGAAAGGAAACACAAGTCCAGGTGTGTTTGTGAAGAGGAAACATCATTAGAACAGAGATCAGAAAAGAATCAGTATGGGCCCTTTAAATAAACACAGAGTTCAATAGTTTTGAATAAACGTGAGTGTGTCAGATTTGACCTGGTTAAATGTGTGTTGGGTTCAGTGGACGATGGAGGAGATGAAGAAGAGACCAACCTGAGAAACGGAGACAGAGGTGATACTCGGTGCATGAAGCTCTCTCCATATATTAGCTTGTAATATATGGCTCACATTTCACCTGCAAAACAACTTTCAAATGTTTAAATAAATCAAATCCATACAATCTTTGGGTTATTATCTTTCATATGTACTTCAAATCCAGCCTCTCTATATCCCTGTACTACTGTGTATATTATATATTGTGTCACAAACAGGCTGCTTCCACTGCATGGTTCACTGCATGTGCTGCTTTGACTCAAAAACTAAAGACAAAAGTAAATATAAGAACTCAAGCTGAAGCTGCTCCTTCTTTCTTCTTCTTCTTTGTTGATCTGAAGCAGAATGAGACACAAATAGAGTGTGCTAAGAACAGTGTGTGTGTTCACTTCAGCTCGTTTATTATTCTATGAACAGAGAAGCATGACACCACTGCTCCATCCCACTGTCACTCACCACCACCACGAGGAGGAGGAGCAGGCCGTCTACTTAAAGCTGCATCATGGAACTTTTCTTCTTGTCTCTATGGAGATGTTATTGTTTTGCAGTAGGAAATTCCCAGACAAAGACAATGATGAGACGAGCACCATGAATGTTCCATGATGGAGCTTTAAGTCTTGACTTTCATGCATGAGCTTTTCTCGTAGAATCAGAGGAATACACCTGCGCAGGTCTAAAGCTGCACTGTGGAACTTTTTAGTTGGGGGTTCATCACCTGCTTGTTTCTATGGAGATGTCATTGATGTGCCTGGAATGTTCCACAGTGTGACATTAAACAGATCTACTTTACATTGATTCAGTTACAGGTGGTTTTATGTGTCATAAATACCTAGAAAACTGACACTGTGACTGTGAGCGAGGTCGCCTCTCCACAGATCTGACCTGTAACTTGGTCTTGTTTGATCTCCATGGAGAAAGAATAGTTTAATGCCATACTGTGAAACATTTCAGACAAAACAATAACATCTCCATGGAGAAAAGTATTTGATGGAGCCTCCACCAGAAAAGTTTCACAATGCAGCTTTAAATGAAGTTAAACTTTAACCTAACCCCTCCAAACAGCAAAAAATGCAGCTTTGTTTTGTTGTTTTCTTCTTCTTCTATGTTTCATCAGAGGTGGGAGAAACCAGAACGTGTCTGTAAACGTACACGTCTGTTTTTTTTATCTGTTATAGATGATGCTTTTAATGTAATCCAGTTTTAAAACAAATGTAGACTTCTTTAGTCCAGGTGAGTCAGGCCCAGTCTGAACCAGAGGAGAATGAACTACTCAATTATGTTACTTAAGTAAAAGTACAGATACAAAAGTAAAACATTACTTAAACAGAATTAAAAGTATCACATGAAATATCTGTTTAAAATGTACTTTAAAAGTAAAAAGTAAGTGTTTTGCAGAGATTTTTTTTAGAACAATTAAAGGATGAAATGTAGTGATTTTGATAAAGAATTTGGCTAATGTCAGTGATTCAGTAGATTTCTTAATTTCTGTAGCCACTTTTGTGTATTTTTGTATTTGATTTGCTCAAAGCTGGGGCAGAAACTCAAATTAAATTAGCTAAAAAATAAAGTCTCAGCCATTTAAACAAGACTCAGACCATAAAGAAAAGTACTTTTTACTTTTCAGTCCAGATTTAAAATACTTGCTCTCTAATGCAGTGAAGTAAAAGTAAAAAGTATCCACTGTAAAATGCAGTTAAGTAAAGTACAGGCATGTACAATTTGTACTTAAATATTGTACTTTTACTTTTGTACTGCGTTACTTTCCATCTCTGGTCTTAACAGGTGTAGGTGTAAAGGTAAGATTTGTTGTAGACCTAGTTTAGTCAGGATTTAGACCAAATTTAGTCTTTTTTAATCATTTAATCTTGATGTAAAACTGGTTTAGTCCCATTTGAGACTTGAAAACCTAAATATTTTCTGAGTATCACTATTTCATATAACTTCTTGCTACTTAAAGCTGCATTGTGTCACTTTTCTGTTGGAGGGTCAAGCCATTTTTTGTCTGGAATATTTCACAGTATGGCATTAAACCTTTCTATCTTCATGAAGACCAAACCAGACCAAGTTACAGGTCAGATCTGTGGAGAGGCGACCCCACTCAGTCAGAATGTCTGTTTTTCTAGGTATTTTTGACACATAAAACCACTTGTAATTGAATAAATGTAAAGTAGAGCTGTTTAATGTCACACTGTGGAACATTCCAGGCAGAGCAATGACATGTCCAAAAAAGACAAAAAGTTACATGGTCAGATCAATCAAATGGCCACTCCCCACCTCTGAATGAACACTTCTACTCTTTAATTATTAACTGTACTGTTATTTTTCTAACTCTTCTGCTTTGTTTTCTGTGTTTAGTTCGAGTACCGAAGCACTGAAGATTCTCCGTCTCCAGGGCAACCTCAGCTCGTGTAGAATGCATGCTGTAACCAGGACCTCAATGTGTGGAACCTCCATCTATACATCAAACTATGGGAGAAGTCCACCTCACGTCTGCACTGACACAGACGTTCCCCATGCGCCACTGTGTGTCCTGATAGAACTAAATCTTTAAGACGTTAAGACAATTCCCTGAAACATCACTGCTAAATATGACTCGCTTTTTCCCTATAGCCCCCCGCGTACTGCGAAAAATACAAGCTCCACCACTTAGAAGGATCTGAATTCAAAACAGTGACGTGATTTGAGTTTTTCTGACCATTTAATCACATAATACACCTGATTATTTGAATGCTTCTGGATATTTCTGACTGATTACAATGATTTCAGTGGTGGAATGTTTCACAGTATCTTTCTATCTCGATGGAAACCAAACTAGACCAAGTTACAGGTCAGATCTGTGGAGAGGCGACCCCGCTCACACTCAGAATGTCAGTTTTTCTAGTTGTTTTTGAGCTACATTGCACATTTCTCGGATCTGGCCATGATTTTAAAACTTCTATCAGGTTATTCATCTTGTTTTCAGATTTATTCTCTACTTACTCGTTCTGAGACGCTTCATTCTCGTCTAGAGGTCGTTTCTTTTAAGAGAATTTGTCAAGTCAAATGATCTTACTGCATGGACACATCATTTCAGCACTTCTGAGACATTTTCTGATACATTTAAGTGTTTAGATCTTACATTTTGGCCAAGCTTTTCTGCAGGGTATAAAAGCACCTGTAATGGAATAAACGTAAAGTAGAGCTGTTTAAAGTCACATTGTGGAACATTCCAGGGAAAGCAATGGCATCTCCATAGAAACAAGCAAGTTATACAGTGCACCTTTAAGAAATATGAAGTCATTTTATTTTATTTATTTATTTATTTATGTATTTAATTATTTATGTGAACTTAATGTATGTTATTTATTAATTTATTTGAATTTAATTAACAAATGTATTTATTTATTTATTTATTTGAATTTTATTTATTTCATATATGTATTTATTTATTTATACACTTTTTTGCTTGTCAACAATTTAACAGTTTGCAGTCTATTGTTCACAAGTAATGATTTTAACTCACTTTAAATTCATTCATTTTTTTGGGCACAGAAGCATTTTTATTTTTATTTATTTTATTTATTTTTTAACAATGGAACAGAGTCTTATCCATATAACATTAGTGAAACCATGACAATAGAAACAAAACACATAATAACTATTAGAATAAGACATTCTATAATATCAAAACACAAAAGCACAAAGGATTTAGATAAAAAGAACTAAAATCTTGCAGTACAGTCTTTTAAAAACTGGGATCATTTGTTCCTCATTGTTGTGTTTCATTTTACAGTCCAGTCATTTGCCTTTAACCCACAGAGACAGACACGTCCTGCGTTTGTCTCATTCTCATTTTATGTTCAAGCCTCAGTGAAAGAACCTCACAACCTCCAGAATAGTTTTTATTCACACTCACGTCACAAACCAGGAAGACGTTTGGAAACATGCAATGACAACTTCCTCGGACTCTGTTTGTCGTAGAAAAATTAGAAAATGTCCCAGTTTTCTTCATGTCCGTGTCATTGTAGTGTTCCGTTATTCCAACCATATGGAGACCAAACCAGACCAGACAAAGCCACAGGTCAGATCTGTGGAGAGGTGATCCCATTCACAGTCACAATGTCTGTTTTTCGAGGTATTTTTGACACATAAAACCACCTATAATTGGATAAATGTAAAGTAGAGCTGTTTAATGTCACACTGCGGAACATTCCAGGGGACGACCCCCAAACCAAAAAGTTACACAGCGCAGCTTTAATAAACAGATCTAACTCAAATCAAGTGAAGTGTTTTGAATTGCAGTCCTGTTGGGTGGTGTTGTGGTGTGTTTGCGGTGCAGCAGCTCGTCCTGTACACACACTGTAAACTCATCGCACCGGGAGCTCCCACCCGTCTCCCAAACTGTCCATTTTTTGTAAAACTAGACTTCTCTGTGTTATCTGTTTTTAATTTGAACTTAATTTGCATGAAGTTGCACTCATGTCAGTTCCAGTACTGTATCATATGAAGCCAGCTCTGTGTGGGGGGGTTGTCATGGCGACTGGGGTCAAATCCATGTTTAAATCTTTAGTTTGAGCGTTGTGGTGGTTACAAGCAAGTGTGTGATTTATTTCATAAAATTTTTTTTATGTAAGACTCACAATTTTACGTGTACAGAAGATGTTGGAAATTTAGTGTTTAAGAAGAAAGCGGATTATTTTGAAACTCGTGAACAATTTTGGGGTGAATTTAAAGGTCCGATATTACACAAAACTGATTCTTCTGAGCTTTAAGTCCTGTTATAATGTTGTTCCCTCCTCAAAAACAGATCTGGAGTTGTGTTTTGTTTCATTCACACGTGTTTGAGTAACTCTTTAGTTCAGTCGAGTTTGGAAATTCCAGCTCTGAAATGATCCAAATGATTCTAGTGAAGGTGCACCAATGAAATCACAAGGTGGAATGGGGAGTTTTTTTCTGCTTCAGAGAAGAACTCAGCTTAAATGTGCAGGTTTGTGTGTTAAACATGTGAATGAAAACACAACTCCAGGTGTTTGTGATGAATAAACAGTGTTTGAACAGATCAGGAAATTGTGTAAAATGGGCCCTTTAACAATTCACACTTTTCTGTTGACTTGTTTGTTTTCCCTCGTCTCTAAATGTACACATTTGTGAGTTGGGAACAAGTAAAAATATGAAGTTGAGTCAGAATACTGCTTGCATGTAGCCACACTGTCTCTGCTGCTCACAAACATCTCTGTAAGAATGTATTTTGTTCTTTAAAAGTGCATTGTGTAACTTTTGTGGTGAAAGTTCCATCAAATGTTTTTTTCTCCATGGAGACTGTTTTACTGCTTTGCTTAGAAAGTTCCACAGTACAGCATTAACTGTATCTATCTCCCTGAAAACAAGCAGGTGGCACAACCAGGCCAGCGGTATGGGTCAGATCTGTGGAGAGGCGACCCCGCTCACAGTAACAGTAAGAATACATCTTTTCAAAGTATTTTTGAGCAATAAAAACATAAATAAATGACTGCTAGATAAATACTGTATACTGAATGCCATATTCTGGAGCATTCTTGAAGCAATAATATCTCCATGGTGATAAGTAGGTGATGGACCTTACCATTAAAGGTTACACAGTGCAGCTTTAAAACTGACGAGCTTGAACATGTCTGCATGGTGCCTCTGTAACGCCACAAAAATACATTTCTTTTGGACTTTAAACGACTTAAATTCACAATATTTACCTTAATTTAATAGGTCTATAATATATGACCTATTCTAAGATTTTTTAAAGGTTTTTTAAAGGTATGTTCCACATTACAGCATTAAATTCATCTTCATTCATGTGTTTTTATTGCTCAAAAATTCCTTAAAAAATCTGCATTCTTACAGTGAGGGGGCTCGCCTCTGCACAGATCTGACCTGTTTTTGTCTTTTCATGTATTTATTTAGCAGTTCTACAACATATAACAATAAAAAGGGCACAGTAGATAAAAAAGGAAGTGCAGGATTTTTTTTCTGTCGCAGTAGAACAGAAGAAGTCAAATGCCGTACTGTGGAACATTCCAGGCCCAGCGTTAACATCTCCATGGAGACAATATGGTGACGTATCTCCAAGAAAAGTTACATAATGCTTTTAATTGGTTGGAATATATGTTTTATTTCAACAATTAGATTTTTTATTTTTTTTGACTCACAAAATCCAAAAAGCTCCTTTGTTTGTCCTTCACAAATCCGAGTTTTTGAAGGAAATTACTTGATAAAACTTGTTAAAACAAGATTGATATTATAAATTTTAATAATTTTTGCAGTGAACACATCACGATACTGTACGAATACAAACGAGTGATGAAGAGCAGGAGACTTCAGTTTTTGAGGAGGATTTGAAGAGTTTTTTGAGCTGTTGAGTTCGTGTAAGTCGGTGTATGAGAGAGTGCGCTCGTGGAAGCATTTGAAAGCTTTATTTGAATCATCGATAACTGAAAATGTGTAAATGTGCAATGAAAGGAGGAGCTCAGGGATTAGAAGAGAGAGAGAGTGAAAAAATGAAATGAAAGAAATGATAATGAATGGACAAATTGAAAGGTAAAATATTGGATCTCATTCACCACAGAACTAAAGAGCCCATGTCACTCTGTGTTCTCATCTGTGTTCTCATCTGTGTTTTGTTGATGTTTAACTCACAAAAATCCTGCATAACACTCTGTTCCACCTTATGACTGTCCTTTATTCAAATACTTGGTGAATGAGGTCCATTATTTTACTGTTTAAATTAAATGAATGATTTGTAATTTAAAGATGAACTATGTTACTTATCCAGACGTTACGCAGCATACATCTCCACGGAGACGTTATTGCTTTGTCTGGAATGTTCCACAGCATGGCATTAAACTCATCACGGAAGCAGGTGATACCACAAGAGCAAGTTACAAGCCAGATCTGTGAAGTGGTGTTCCTTGTGTGTTTTGTTTTCTGAACCATAAAAACACTCTTAATTTAACACATGTGAGATAGAAGTTTAATGTCATACTGTGGGACATTCCAGGCAAAGCAATAACATCTCTATGGAAACCAGCACGTGGTCGATCCTCCACCAGAACAGAAGTTACATAGTGCGTCTTTAAAATTACAGACAAAATGATTTTCTGGAGAGCGTGTGGAAAGTCGAGGCGCTGTTTGTGAAATTGTTGAAGCATGTTTTGTAGTTTGTCTTTTTGTAGCTGTTTTCGTTCCATTTTAAAGGAGCTGTAACTGATTTTTTCCTGTCTTAAAAGCATGAGAAACAGAACTAGTCCCTTTAAAACAGTTTGCAGTGGTCCAAAGTTCTTCCTGTACGGTGGCTCACGAGGCACAACGGCCCAGTGTTTTTCAGTTCGAGAAAAAAGCTTCAAGTGCAGAAACGAGCCAAATTCACAAACAACAAAGTACAAACAAAGAACATGGTGCAAATGAAAAGACAAATGTATCATCGTCACATGCACCGCAAACAGAGAAACGACACAAAGCACAAAACGATGAAGAACGACGAACCAAGAAAACACCTGTAAACGAAAAACGCTGCTTAAAGACGCCACAACGGAAGTGCTCCAGACCTGCAGGGGGCGCTTCTGTGCTTGAAGCTGTTTTCTCGAACTGAGACGCACTGGGCCGCTGCAGCGCGTTTGGCCCCCGCCAGCCACCGTATTCCTCATTTACCAAACACATTCAGAGCATCCTCATTATTCCCCGTGATGACTTTATAAGAGCTTTTCACAACTCTCAGAGACCAGGGTATCACTAACGACAGCTAGTATGCTAACCACACACTTCCTGATTCTCTGACATTAAAGCGCTGTTTGATTAGATGCAGACAGTACCTCAAAGATGCACTGTAGAATCTGCTTGTTTCTATGGAGATGTCTGGAATGTTCCACACTGTGACATTAAACAGCTCGACTTTG